ATAGTATAGAATGTCAAAAAATGCGATAAAAAAGTTATACTATAGCATGTTGAAAGAAAGTCATAAAAACGTCAGTATAATATGTCGAAAGAATGATAAAAACGTTATAGGATGTCAAAAAAAGTGATAAACATGTCATAGTCTGTCGAAAAAAATTGATAAACACTTCATAGTATGCTATGTCGAAAAAATGCGATAAAAAAGTCATAGTATAGTATGTCGAAAAAAATGATAAAAACGTCATAGTATAGTATGTCGAAAAAAGTGATAAACACGTCATCGTATAGCATGTCAAAAAAAGTTTTAAACATGTCATAGTATAGTATGTTGAAAGTGTTTAAAAACATCACAGTATAGTATGCCGAAAAAAGTGATAAAAACATCATAGTATAATATGTCGAAAAAAGTGATGAAATCCTCATATGTCAAAAAAATGCGATAAACACGTCATAGTATAGTATGTCGAAAAAAGTGATAAAAACGTCAAAGTATAGTATGTCGAAAAATGCGATAAAAACGTCATGTCGAAAAAAATCAACAAAAACGTCATAGTATAGTATGTCGAAAAATGCAATAAAAACGTCAAAGTATAGTATGTCGAGAAATGCGATAAAAACGTCAAATGTTGAAAAAATACGACATAAACCCCATAGTATAGTATGTTGAAAAAATGCAATAAAAACGTCATAGTATAGTATGTCGAAAAAGTGAGAAACACGTCATAGTATAGTATGTCAAAAAAATTGAAAAAACGTCATAGTAGTATGTTGAATAAAAGTGATCAACACGTCATTGTATAGTATGTCGAAAAAAGTGATAAAAAACGTCACTGTATAGTATATCAGTTTCTTTTAAACATGTAATAGTATAGTATGTCGAAAAAAGTGTTTCAAAACATCATAGTATAGCATGGCAAAAAAGTTTTAACCACGTCATAGTATAGTATGTTGAAAAAAGTGTTTAAAAACAGCATAGTATAGTCTGCCTAAGAAGGTGATGAAAACGTCATGGTATAGTATCTCAAAAAAAAGTAATAAACACGTCATACTATAGTACGTCGAAAAAATTGAAAAAACGTCATAGTAGTATGTTGAATAAAAGTGATAAAAACGTCATTGTATAGTATGTCGAAAAAAGTGATAAAAACGTCATTGTATAGTATGTCAATTTTTTTTAAACATGTAATAGTATAGTATGTCGACAAAAGTGTTTCAAAACATCATAGTATAGCATGACAAAAAAGTTTTAAGCACGTCATAGTATAGTATGTTAAAAAAAGTGTTTAAAAACAGCATAGTATAGTCTGCCTAAAAAGGTGATGAAAACGTCATAGTATAGTATCTAAAAAAAAAGTAATAAACACGTCATTGTATACTATGGCGATAAAGGACATGAAAACGTTATAGTATAGTATGTCGAAAAAATTGAAAAAACGTCATAGTATAGTATGTTGAAAGGAGTGTTTAAAAACATAGTATAGTATGTTGAAAAAAATGATGATAACGTCATAGTATAGTATGTTGAAAAAATGCAATGAAAATGTCATATGTCGAAAAAATTGACAAAAACATCATAGTGTAGTATGTCGAAAAAAGTAAAAACGTCAAAGTATAGTATGTCGAAAAATGCGATAAAAACATCAAATGTTGAAAAAATACGACAAAAACCTCATAGTATAGTATGTTGAAAAAAGTGATAAACACGTCATCGCGTAGCATTTCAAAAAAAGTTTTAAACATGTTATAGTATAGTATGCTGAAAGAAGTGTTTAAAAACATCACAGTATAGTATGCTGAAAAAAGTGATAAAAACGTCATAGTATAGTATGTCAAAAAAAGTGTTAAACACGTCATAGTATAGCATGTCGAAAAAAAGTGATAAACACGTCATAGTATAGTATGTTGAAAGAAGTGTTTAAAAACATCATAGTATAGTATGTCGAAAACAGTGATAAAAACATCAAAGTATAGTATGTCGAAAAATGCGATAAAAACGTCAGATGTTGAAAAAAATACGACATAAACCTCATAGTATAATATGTCGAAAAAAGTGATAAAAACATCATAGTATTGTATGTCGAAAAATGTGATAAAAACATCATATGTCGAAAAAATCGACAAAAACGTCATAGTGTAGTATGTCGAAAAAGGTGATAAACATGGGGATAAAGGACATGAAAACGTTATAGGATAGTGATAAAAATGTCATAGGATGTTAACAAAGTGATAAACACGTCATAGTATAGTCTGTCGAAAAAAATCGATAAACACGTCATAGTATACTATGTCGAAAAAATGCGATAAAAACCTCATAGTATAGTATGTCGAAAAAAGTGATAAAAACATCATAGTATAGTATGTTGAAAAAAGTTAAAAAAACGTCATAGTATAGAATGTCGAAAAAAGTGATTAAAAACGTCATAGTATAGTATGTCGAAAAATGCGATAAAAATTTGAAATGTCAAAAAAATACAACAAAAACCTCATAGTATAGTATGTTGAAAAAAGTTATAAAAACGTCATAGTATAGTATGTTAAAAAAAGTGATAAAAATGTCATAGTATAGTATGTCGAAAAAAATGATTAAAAACATCATAGTATAGTATGTCGAAAAAAGTGATAAAAACATCATAGTATAGTATGTTGAAAAAAGTTAAAAAAAAACGTCATAGTATAGAATGTCGAAAAAAGTGATTAAAAACGTCATAGTATGTCGAAAAATGCGATAAAAATGTGAAATGTCAAAAAAATACAACAAAAACCTCATAGTATAGTATGTTGAAAAAAGTTATAAAAACGTCATAGTATAGTATGTTAAAAAAAGTGATAAAAATGTCATAGTATAGTATGTCGAAAAAAATGATTAAAAACGTCATAGTATAGTATGTCGAAAAATGCGATAAAAATGTGAAATGTCAAAAAAATACGACAAAAACGTCATAGTATGTTGAAAAAAGTTATAAAAACGTCATAGTATAGAATGTCAAAAAAAGTGATTAAAAACGTCATAGTATAGTATGTTGAAAAATGTGATAAAAACGTGAAATGTCAAAAAAATACAACAAAAACCTCATAGTATAGTATGTTGAAAAAAGTTATAAAAACGTCATAGTATAGTATGTTGAAAAAAGTTATAAAAACGTCATAGTATAGTATGTTAAAAAAAAGTTATAAAAACGTCATAGTATAGTATCTTGAAAAAAGTCATTAAAAACATCATAGTATAGTATGTTGAAAAAATGTGATAAAAACGTCATGTCGAAAAAATGTGACAAAACCGTCATAGACTAGCATGTCAAAAAAAAGTCTTAAACACGTCATAGTATAGTATGTCGAAAAAAGTGTTTCAAAACATAATAGTATAGCATGTTGAAAAAACGTGATAAACACGTCATAGTATAGCATGACAAAAAAGTTTTAAACAGGTCATAGTATCAGTCTCTGTAGCAGAATTTGATGGTCAATAGTTTCAAACGCTGCACTAAGATCTAATAAAACAAGTACAGAGACAAGTCCTTTGTCTGAAGCAATCAGAAGGTCAAATAAATTATTATCATGGAGAAAATCACACAGCTGGTCTGCGACTACTTTCTCAAGGATCTTTGACATAAAGGGAAGATTAGATATTGGTCTATAGTTGGCTAACACCTCTGGATCCAGGGTGGGCTTTTTTAGTAGAGGTTTAATTACAGCTACCTTAAAAGACTGTGGTACATAGCCTGTTAATAAGGATATATTGATCATATATAATATATGAGTGTTAACTAAAGGAAAGACCTCCTTAAGTAGCCTAGTTGGGATGGGGTCTAAGAGACACGTTGATGATTTAGATGAAGAAATCACTGCGGTCAATTCTTGAAGAGAAATTGGGGAGAAGCAATCTAAATATATATTAGGTCTTACAGCTGTGTTTGAGGTTAGATAGGTACTATCTGAGGACAGGAGGTCATGAATTTTGCCTCTAATAGTTAGAATTTTGTCATTAAAAAAGCTCATTAAATCATCATTTTTAAGGTTCCTTAATGACAGAGAATCTGAGGAGTTGGTTTAGTTAACTTTAATCTTTCTCATACAACATAAAGTGATGTCACTTTTCTCTACATGAAGAACTTATTGCATCGACAGTGACTCTTCTGTTGAATGCGGATCTGCAGAGTCGGCAGTTTTTTAATCCTTTAAGGTTCTCGTCAGTTCTCTGATGTTTGTTGGTTAGCAGAGCCACCGCACTGCTGCGTTCAGCCTCATAGGAAGTCCTGTTTCTACGTCACCAGAGTCACAAATGTTCCTGAAGCCACGCCCACGTGTCAGCATCACAGCGGCCATTTTAAACAGTCTGAGGAGGAAACGGAGTGAAGACACAGGAACAGGACCAAACAGCTGCTTTAATGATGCAGGAATTAATTTAAACCTTTTTGTTTTCATACCAAATATATAAAAATATGCCTCTGACTTCTCTCAGGACTTTTTTTTAACAATATTTCTGTTGTTATCAAATGTGTTGACAAAACGAATCTGATGGTGGTGAAAAGGAAAAGAGTTACATGTGGTGTCCATCAGGGCTGCATTCAGGGTCCTTTGCTGTTCTGGGTATACATCAAGGTTTTGTAAATGTTAGTAAAATGACATCTTCACTGTCTGACTTCCTGTTTGGCCCTGAGAATCTGACTAATTACAAAACAAGAACCTCCTAAAATCTCCTTTACTAGCCCTTAAATTAACCCTGAAAAAATAATACAATAATTACAACTAATTTAAGGGCTTCATGACTTTTCCAAAGGATTTAAGTTAAAAAGTTTCAGCTGATTTTAATTTAATTATTCCTCAGTCAGATATTTAACAGGTTCACAGGATCAAATCAGACTTTTAAAATGTTTTTTTTTTTTTGATTTGCATGTGAACATTACAGATAAACTTGAACTGATTTATGATGATACATAATATACTGCTCCGTATAAATGGTCCAAGTAAAATTAAAAAAAAAAAAAAAACCCAAACCTTACCCGTATGCATCAAACGGCATCATTAAAAACCTCGTCCTCTGACTGATCTGTTAAACCTGGTAAATATTGTACATGTGACATCAGTTTGGATTCATCGTATAGTCACATTTATTTATTAACCGTACAAACTCTCAGTTTGCCTGTAGGATGCCATGGAGACCATTAGTCTGTCACTTCCTGTGGAACATCAACAACAGATTCTGTGACAGTGAAGTCTTGAAAAACTCTCTGAAACTACGACGTCACTGACCCAGATCTGTCCACTTAGGTTCAACTTTGGCATTTCATAATAAAATCCTTTCAGTAGTTCAAAATGGCCGCCGTGTAAAGTGGGTCATGTGACCTGTGCAGAGAGCATCACCTCCTCTGATTGGTCAGTCTGCTGTGGAGAGGCCGGACTTTGGACAGGACTTTGTGGGGCGGGTCCGTCATGGTCGTCACACACTTTGTGTTGGCAGGGAAAGGTGTTACCGGGACGACAGTGGATGGGGTGTTGGTTGGGGCAGCGGTGGAGGAGGCGTTGGGCAGGGCATTGGATGAGGTGGTGGTGGGTGGAGCACTTGGTGGGATATCAGAGGATGAGCCGTTAGTTGGGGCGATGTTGGATGGGGCGTTGGATAAGGTGATATTGGATGGGGCGTTGGTTGAGGCGGTGTTGGGTGGTGTTCCTGTCGTTGGTGTTGTGGTGGTGGTTGTTGTCGTTGTGCTAACTGCAGACTGGTTGTTGGTCACAGCGGCAGCAGGTTTGGTCAGAGTGGTCTGAATCTCCGCCCTCCTGGCTAAAGCTGTCCTCAACCTCTCCCTCATCTGTTCGATCTCCTCCTGCAGCTCCTGCAGCTCGCCAGGCCGGGGGGGGACCACGGCTACAGGGGGTGGGGCTGCGGCTGGGGATGGGGCCGCGGCTGCAGGAGTGGGGGCTACAGCGGCAGGTGGAGGTGCAGAGGTTTTGGGTTTGGCGAAGGAGGAAGCAGAAGAGGACGATGATGAGGGCAGGGAGAGCAACAGACTGGCCAGTGACACCGCTGGTCCTCCGTTCTCACACAGTTTGCTGTTTGGCCCCGCCTTCGGCTTGGCTGGTCCCTCCCCCTCAGGCTTGGCCCAGCCTCCTTTGGCTTCAGAAGTGGCGATGCGGGCAAGCAGGCGGCGGGTGTTGAGGGTCTCCAGGTTGAAGTGGACTCGTTTGAAGTCTCGTGCATCTTTAGGAATGGCGGCCGTGGCAGCGGTGGCAGCTTCCTTAATGGCCTCGTTGTTCCACTTGGCGGAGGCTCCGGGGCGTGGCGGGGCGGGGGGGCCGGTGGTGGGCTGAGGCTTCTGCAGATTACAGCTGAACGGAAACAGAGAAAGATGATGTTTAACAGAACCATGTGATCCAGTCAGAAGCTCTGGAACATGTGGACGATGACATCATCACCTGTTTAGACTCTAATCTGACATCTGAACACACTGAGGTTCTAATTTACATGTTTACATTAAAACGATTCTCCTCGGGGCGTTGGTGGTTTAGTGGTAGAGCAGGCACCCCATGTAGAAGGCTGTTGCAGTAGCGGCCCGGGTTTGACTCCAGCCTGTGGCCCTTTGCTGCATGTCTCTCCCTCTCTCTCTCCCCCTTTCACACTTCACTATCCTATCAATTAAAGGCAAAAAATGCCCATAAAAATATCTTTAACAAAAAAAAAAAGATTCTCCTGTGACATCACTGATGACATCACCCCAGTGTTAATTTTGTCAACTAAAACTTAAACGAAACCTTTTCGTTGACGACCCTTTATTCTGTGACTAATTTGTGATGAGAACGTAAATTTAATAAGTACTGACAACAAAAACTAAAAGGAAATTATGAAGTGAAAAGTAAAAACATGACGAAAAAGCTGACGCTGGCCGGCCGGACAGTCTGGACTACAACCATCCTCAATGCCTTGATTGTTTTCCTTTTCAACCAATTAATTCAATTAATTATCTTAACTCAAATTCAAACTCTCAGTCTGTCTTTCTGATTGGATGACCGCCTTCCGCGCGGTGGCGGTGCACGTCCAGTTTTGCCACACAGAAGCCTTGGCTCCACAGCGGGAAGCCAGGAACAACAACGCTTGTAAAACTCTGTAAAAGTACACAAAAGCATACATTTTCATTTCCATATTTATTTGAAAACGAAACCATTCATACGGTCAATAAAAAAACATTTTGTTAATAATAAAAAATGAATGTAATCTCAACAGTGACCGCGCCAGCTGGCGGGACTGCGGCTGAACCGCACCCAATGTTCATTCATTCATTTAATCACGTGTTCAATGTGTGTGTGTGTGTGTGTGTGTGTTAATACGTCAGAGAGGAGGAGTATCAATTAAAAAAAAAGTTTCCACTAATTATTTCGGTGTTTATTTCTTTTATTCTTAAGTTTTTTTTATTAAAATGCGTAATATAGCCAACAATATTATAGACCAAAAGTTAATCTAATTTATTATTGTAGAATGTATTTAGCAAATCACCACTTTCAACTGGAGACACGGCGCAGCAAGGCATTAGCAGAAAAAAAAAAGGCATTATAAAAAGCCAACAAATAGTGTTAATTAATTGACATGAGACATTGGAGAGGTTGTCAGTCCTATTCTATAGCCTGTAATACTTTTTTTATTTTATCATAACTTCTCCAAAATTACTCAAAAATTTTTGTGTGCTTCTGAGCACACGGGCAGCATAAACAATGAAGTTACATATTATGGTCTGGCAGACGGTGCAGCGCTTGGAGGGGCGCTGTAATCCTGGCGGTCCTAGTGTTAACAAACACTGAATTAAAATGGGCATAACAGTTAAGCTGTTATGATCTTCTTTTGATGTCTTAAGAGGACTGGAGCTTTATTCTTGCAGGTTGTGAGTCATACAATCTTAGTTTAAATGACTGAACACACAGTTAAAGGTATGCTTACAATGGAGTTTTTACTACCATGACAAACATCCTTTTGCAAAATCTATTACAGTATAACAAAACTGTCAAATTACGTCAAAAGACTAAAATGAGACTAAAACTAAAACTGATTTCCACTGACTAAATTTTAACTAAAACAAAACAAAACCAAAAGTCTAAAATGTGACTTTAACGAAATCCAGTCTTTGGTGAGTGGCTAAGACTAAAATGAAATTAAAAATTCTTGTCATAATTAACACTGCATCACCCACAAGACAAACCTTTTCTCTTTCTCGGCTCGCTGTTTCTTCACATCTTCGTACGTCATGTTCAGAGCTCGATGGATTTTCTGTCGGACACACAAACACATCAGATTTCAATTCTGTCAGTGGGAACACAAGAGACCGATAAATGAGCTGTTGGTTCTGACGTCTGGTTCCTCTGATCTGTGATCTCTGAGGCCTCGGACTGTAAACACCTCAACGCTTCCTCTGCACCCCCTTAGAACTCTGTAGAACTTTTAAAACCCCCTTAACACTTTCTCTTAACCTCCTGACAGCCCACCAGAACTCCTTAAAGTTCTCTGAACTTCTTCTGCACCTCCTTAGCACCCGTCAGAACCTCCTTGAGTTCCTCTGTAGAACTGACACTGACCTTAAAACTGGCATTTGATGGTTCTGTTGATCTGAACACACACACACACACACTCTGAGTCTCACCTGTGACGTGTGCAGCCAGTACTTGAGGTTCTGTCGGCGGCGGATGTGCGGCAGGATGAGTTGGTAGAAACCGTGTTCACCTGCCAGAGTCAGCAAAGCTCCGCCCACTCCAATGCACAACAACACGAAGAGTCCTGAAAAGTGACTGATTCCCATCTGAAGAGTCTGACACAGAGGAAGAGGAGGAGGAAGAGGAAGACACCGGCTAACATTAGCTAATCATCAGTAAACACAGAGTCCAACGTTCTACGTGGACACACTGAGATGTTGATCTGATGATGGCGACAGATGAAACGTCAGAAGATACAAACTTAATACACAGACAGATGGATGGACAGTATCTTACATGTCAAAATAATGAGAAGATGATGAAGACATGGGCCTCTAGTTTCCCGGCACGGCGCAGGGTGGCGAACCCCGCGCAGAGCTAGTTTCAAGCAGCGCAATCCGAGGCGCGCTCAGTTTGGTAGTTCAGTCAGACAACTGTGGATTGAATTTAACATTTATATTGAGCATAAATATTGCATACTGAAGCAGAGCATGAATAGTTTTAGCATGGCTGAAGCAAGTTTGGCGTCAGGCTCTATCTCAATTTATTCATTCCCTGAAAATGATCTGTATGACAGACATTACAGGGAATGAATAGCAGACCCCCAGCTGGGGATCCTAGAAATAGAGCCCACAGGTGGATGCTGGGGAGGTGGTGGGATTTGAGAAGCTTCATAAGCAGCACACAGCAGCAGCAGCAGCAGCGAGAACAACAGAACCCAGCAGGATCAGCAGCAGAGACAGCAGTGGCGGCGGCAGCAGCAACGAGAGCAACAGAACACAGTAGGATCAGCAGCAGTAGAGCAGCATGTGCATGCAGCAGCAGAGTAGCAAGGAATGATCAGATAAGCACAGGAGGTTTAAATAACCCGCCCTATCAGCTGAGGAGAGCATGAAGCGCATCAGCTGATCAGGATTGCGCACTTGAGTTGTCTGCCTGAACTAGATCCGCAGGCTTTGCATCATTTTGGCAGACCGAGGTGCGCTGAGATGGGTGTGGCAGCGCAGCAGGGGGAGGTGTCGACAGATCCAGCTTGGCGCAGTGACAGTTTCGTGCCAAAAGGTTTCGCTGAAGGTGCGCTAAAAGCTCGCCAGCTGAAAGAGATCTACTGTCAGTACAGGCGCAGCGCAGCCGGTGTAGTGGAAGTTTGGCTGACTGGCAGACAGTGCGCACACATCACCAAAACCTCACAGGCAGGTTTCCAGAATATCAGGCACATTAACGATGCAATAAATACCCAAAAGACCACTATTCAATGCAACTATCTGCAATCAGCACATAAATGTATCTCTATATCGACTGTCCTGTCACATGTGATGTCAGATCAAAGGGGATTGGCACCGTTTGGCACGTTTGGCACGCGTAATGGAAACCCAACCTGATTTGATTAACACAGCTGCAAACTAATGAGTTCACATCCCTCTCAGCCAACCACAAACAGCCACAGCATCAGATAGGGAGTATATATTCAGCATCTGTCATCTTAGAAAAGTCAAAAGAAAA